AAAAAAAAATGGTTTCAGAATGCTCCCAAGTTTAGTATTTTCTTAACTGAGATATGTTTTGGTGTTGGTGTGCTTCAGTAATCATAGCTGCTCTTCAGTCTGAGTCAGTTACTTTGCTGAAAGAGCACCTTTCATTCAAGAATCTTAAAACTTTCCCAGAGGTAAAAAGATCCATTTGACAGACTGGGAAATGGAAACAGACTCCCAGTCCTGGAACTTGCTGGTTCCGGATACCATTTATTACTGATGAATATTAAGTCACTTCCGCTGCATCCGTCAGACAGCTGAAAGATTGTTTTTGAGTCCTTGCATGCTTTTGAGGTAGAGTTCTGTCATGTTGAGTGTCTTTTGCTGGAAGGGCACAGGGTATGTTTTCTGGCCAGGTTTTCTTCTTTCCTTTTCCATTTAATAGGAGAATTATGTTTTGTGAAGAATTTGTATTACAGGAAGAATATAAAAACTCCTTGCATTTGTAATTTGTGGCTGTTGGAATTATTGTAATTGGTCTTTTCCTTATCTGTCTTGTGTGATCTTGTTTAGTTTGACTCTTTGATTTGGTTTATTTCGGATCCTTGCAGTCTGAGGTACCTACCAAGAAGGGTGGTCTCTAGTCAGCACACATAAAAGTAGGTAATAGCAAATGTGGAGGGGCATTATTTTCACTAAATATCTACATTAACCCAAAAGTGCTTGTCACTGTGTGAGACCTAAATGCTGTCCCTATCACAAAGAACTTGGATTATAAATAGCTTTGACAGACTTATCTTTTTTTTAAATTTCAACAGATGATGATGTTTGGTTTAAAGCATTTTTTATTTAAATTTTCACTGTTGCAGGAAATTTATGATTGGTTCAGACTATTATTTAACAGTAGATGCTGAGATACAGCAGGTTAAATCTTTACCAGTAATAGCTGAAGCACAAACGCCATATTTCAGAATACACAAAGTAAATACCGTTAAATCAAACTAAGTATTCAAGCATCACTTTTTCTTTGCGTATCTGTAATTTTTTATTGATGAAAATGTCAGTTTGTACAGTGAAATTGACATTTATGACATTTCCTGGTAAAAATAGCCTACCAAGCCTGTTTATAATAGGACAAGAAAAAACTTGGAGAGTTAGATGATCGGTGTTAGCTTAGTTAATATGCCAAGTACACGTTCCAATGGAAATGCATCCTTCTGCCTTTGTAGTGAACTTTGCTGGCATTTTGGAAGCAATCCGGCATTTGTTTCTAGTGCTGTGTTACCTTTGCCAGTCATGTTTATATTGGTTTCCTATTTTCCATTTCAGGGCTTTGTCTAGCCATTTAGAGCCATGTCTGATAACGGAGAACTGGAAGATAAGCCTCCAGCCCCTCCCGTCCGAATGAGCAGTACCATCTTCAGTTCAGGGGGCAAAGACCAGCTGTCTACCAACCACAGCTTGAAACCCCTGCCCTCTGTACCAGAAGAGAGAAAACCTAGGAACAAAATCATCTCCATCTTTTCTACTGAAAAAGGTAAGCTACTTCAGCTCTGTCAACAAAACTTTCCCTGACTACTGAATGTTTCCTTTTGGTCTTTTATTTGGTTGTAGGAGTGCTGTAAGCATTCAAGTCCATGATACGAAGATTAACATTTTTTAGGTGTCCTTATTTTAGTCTTTTCAGCTGCATATACTACCTCATCTCAGGAGGTGCTGCTATTCAGGATACATGTTTTATTGGGTAAGAGGAAGCTTTCCATTGTAACTGTAGGTCCTTGAACATGGAACCTTGGTGGGAGAGAGGCTAAACCTAATTGACAAGGAGTCCTGTGGCACCTTATAGACGAACAGATTTATTGGAGCATAAGCTTTCGTGGGCAAAGACCCACTTCGTCAGATGCATGTCATGCTCCAATAACTCTGTTCGTCTATAAGGTGCCACAGGACTCCTTGTCGCTTTTGCAGATTCAGACCACCACAGCCACCCCTCTGATACTAAACCTAAATTAGTAGCTGGCAGAAAAAACCCCATCAAATGAAATTCCCTTCTACCATCTTAAATCATCCTTCATAAAAACTCTTCTACCTTCTGCTCCCCTTACTCTTCATAGTGTCTGCTTTTTGTCTCTTGTTCTACACTTGGGTTATAAGCCTTTTTTGTTATGTGCATGTCTAGGGCAGTGGGTTCCTGATCCTGGATCTCTTTCTGGAGTGTGCCATTGCAATATAAATAAAAAATAAACTCGTCTTCCCTCTCCCACATGCATACCCTTTATAGAATTATATTTGAGAGAGATCCTCCCAAAGTTTAATAGTTATATTTCCCTGCATTTCAGAACTGTAGCAATTTAATTTTATGATTTTATTTTTTTCCGACCAGAATATATATCAAGTGCATCCCATTGCACTATGTAATCGGTCTCTCTTTTGGATCTAATAAATTGTTAGACCTTTTAAAATGTAATTGATTTTTTTTTGCACGAGTATTCTCCTTTGGAGACTATTACTATATTTGCTTAGCAGGTGTTTAAAAGTATTAAAGCATGTATAAATGTATGAGAACTAGAAATTGTCGCTGTAGAAGAGCAAATATTTAGGCTTTAAACATAGAGCTATTTTAAACGTATTGGCATCAGAGTGGTTAGATTTTGTGGGCAATGGACTAGAGTAACATGTTACTATCTTACATTACTAGGAAACCACTTTTAGCCTCACTGTTTTTACTTCCTTTTAATATATTTGTTCCTAATGCTTCCAGGCTCTACTGTTCCCCACCCTGCTGCTGCTTTTGACTGATGTACCCAGCAGGATTGTTTCAGCCATGCTGACACTGGTTTCATCACTTTGCTTTGAGAGACTTTGTTCCTCTAATTATTTATTAACCATATTAAGTCTTTCCCCTAATGCATTTCTTATTTCTCACTCCTCTGTCTGTCCCAGTAGCTGTCACTTCGACTATGCTTTCTTTACCTCTTAGAAGAATCATGCATATTCATAAGATGACTTCTGGTATTCTGCAGTTTCTGTACAATGGATAACAAGCATTGACTGGCTTAGCTGAAGTCACTTTTATTCTGGAATAGTGTCCAGATAAGTGAGTCATCCAGTGGCTGTGCTGGTCAGTTTCCCTGTGTAGATAAGCCCATCTGTTAGTGAGGGAAGTCTGAAGAGACAATTCTGTGACAAACTTCTGCTGCTGATCATGGGTGATGGATGGTGTGAGACCCCAAACCTCCGTGATGTGAAAGGAACAGACCTTCCAGCTACCCATTGGAAGATTAAGTTAGGTGAGGGAGAAGAGTGCACCCTGTATACTGCATAGGGAAGATGGGGGCATGGTGTTCACTTGAGATCACTTCCAACAAGACACATGCAACCTTCCAAAACTTTTAAGGAATGAGTCTTTTTTCATTGTGAGGGTTGATTCAGTGATTCTTGTCTGCTGCAGGCACTAGCTTCACCCACTGTCACTACAGAAACCAGTATTTACCATTATGATGACAGTAATAGCAGCGCATGCCAGGTACTCTTGTGAAGGGCACAACATAAACCTGAGTAGAATAGCCTCCTTCCTCATCTCAAGACTAGCAGCAAGGGCACTGCTGATAGGCTTCACTTAGGCCTACTCCGCACTACCCTTGGCCATTGGTCTAAGTGACACATCCTCAGCTACTCGAATAATGTAGCTGAAGTGGACATACGTAGGTGTACTCACTGCAGTGAAAACACCATGGTGAGTCAATGGCAGACACTATCCTGTCGACTGCCTATCCTCCTTGTTCTGGGGGAGTACTGGCGTTGATGAGAGAGCACTCAGTGGTCCATTTAACACCTCTGTGCTAGACTTGATAAATTAGCCACCTCTGGATCGATCACTGCTCTTCGATCCAGTAGGTAGTGGAGGCATGACCTGACTTATCTGCCATTTGTGCATATGCCTTCATGAGAATACTTGCAGCCCTCCTCTTTCAAACAAGATTGTACGGAAATACAGTGAGGGAAGGCCCTTGGTGTTTGGATTGGCATTGAATAGTGAAAGAGTCTCAGTACATTACAAAGTGTAATTGGACTAAAGCAGGGGTCTCCAAACTACGGCCCGGGGGCCGGATGCGGCCCGCGAGGCCCTCTCATCCGGCCCGTGGAGACCTTTTTGGATTCAAAGGCAGAAGAAGTGAGATTGTTTCAAAACCCATTTGAAGCAGATGTGGCCAGTTGCCCAGATGAACTGCAGCTGGAAGTCATTGAGTTGCAAGCAAATGACCTCCTTAGGGACAAGTTCAAAATAGGACTGGTGGGTTTTTACCAGTTTTTGCCCAAGGAAGACTTTCATAATGTCAAAACTTTTGCATCAAGGTACCTTTCAATCTTTGGAACAACATACCTGTGTGAACAAACATTTTCAAGAATGAAATACGTGAAGAACAATTTGAGAACAAACTTGTCCGATGATAATCTCAGGTCACTGTTGATGTTAGGGACAACAAATCTAAAGCCAGAAATGTCTGCTATTTTGGCATCCAGGAAACAATTTCACCATTCACACTAATACAGGTGTTCATGTGTAGTGTATGAATGTGTTATTAAATAATAACTGAATAAAATAATATTAAATAAATAATTAAAAACAACATCCATGTTTTGATTGTTTTTTATTTGGACCTCAAGTGTGTAGTCGGCCCCCAAACTGCTGTTTGATAGTTAATGCGGCCCTCAGGCTGAAAAGTTTGGAGACCCCTGGACTAAAGCATCATTAAAGGTGGCGAATAAGAAGGGCCCTCCTATATAACTTCTTCACTGCAATCCTCTCCTGTCAGTTGGTGCCATGCACTAGCTGAGGTAAATCCCGAGCTATTGAGATCAGTTCGTGGAGAGCCGAGCCTTTGAGGTGCGTACAAAACAAATGAGGAGAACCAAGAGATTTTATAAAATGTCTGGTGCTTTGAGAAATGTGTAACAGATTAGGATCACTGACCCTATCCCACCTCAGTGAGGGACTGCGGATTTCAAGACAATCCAAAACAGTGTGAGGATTTAGAATTAGTTTTCTTTTAAAGAGTAAATGAGTCTCAACCTTAATTCCAGCACTCCACTAGAGCTGATACCTCTAGTGTGGTTCCAACAAAATAAGCATATATGTTGTGTTCACTCTGCCTGAGTGTTCTGCTCATGGCTTTTTTTAAATGATCATCCTTGGAATAAGTCAGGACAAGCACGTACTGTGTCATGTTTTCATGAGAGCCAAAACCAGCTATATAGCTTTTGTATGTAGTGTTAAAATCTTACAGTAGGAGAATAAGCATCTTACGCTTTGGCTCCAGACATTTGGTCTCACTGGTGTATATTTTAATGTATTTGTTTTCATGAGTGGAATATTTATTAGTGACTGAATTAAGATTCCTTCAGTTAATCTGGGGCATTTTTAGTGCTTTTTTGATATTTTATAGCCAGAGGTTACAGTTTCCTCCAGGATTTTACATTTCTGCTGGTTTTGCTCCTCATTAACACCACCATGAGAGATCCCACATTTTAACCTCCATCTGAGCAGTGCTGTGTACGTGTCTCCCAGTGGAGCCTTATCAGCCAGGAGGGTAATTGGGAAATGGCCTGAGGTGCTCCCTTCTCCCCAGAGGCTGAGCACTGCTACGTCTGCAACCCTTGAAGCTACTGTTAGCTCTGAGAATAAGGGACAGTATCATAACTCTTGAACAAAAGAGTCACCCCGTACTGAGTGAAGTGACTCGCTTTTAAGTACAGAACTGGAGCACAACTATAATCAGAAGTTCAGAAATACTGTGGCCTCACAATGGCCTTAATGGAGCCTCAAGTACCTGCTGCCAACATATGACTCACTGATCGGCCTCTTGGCTCAGTTCTACTGCTTGAATTTGTTTAAAGTGTGTGTCTGACCTGTTATTCCTGTGGGCGGAGCAATGGGTCTTAGAATCTTTGCCCAGTGTACTAATACAGTGTTTATTGGATTGAAAGGAGAAGGGTTTACTGGTGTCACACATGCCTAGGGATTTTAACCCCCAAATTATGTTCTCTAGAAGTCATCAGGTGCTTCAGACCTGGAGTCTTCCTTAGGAACATAGTCATTTTCTTTCCGCATAGTTAGCAGCAAAAGGTTGGGCAAAGAGTGATGCATGAAGGCTTTCATATAAAGAGATAAGCAGGTTTTTCTAACCCTGTAGTTGAAGTATTTTTATAAATGCATTTGACCATCTATTTCATTTTGGCTCCCAGACCTATGCAGCCATATTAAAGATATCCTGTTTATAACAGCAATGTCTTCCCAAAGCATTGTTCAGCTCTAGGCAGGCCAAATGGCTTTATGGTTCTAAGTATAGTCTTTAATTCCCTCTTTCCTTTCCTGCTGGTGTGAGGGTCTGTGCAGTTGGAAATACAGTAAAAGCGAGTACTTAGAAACAAATCCTCAGATGACTGCATGTTTGAGTGAATATCCAACTGTGCAGTCCCAGTGGAGAAAGTAGTCTTTTTATTAACTATTGCTGGGCCCACTTTGCTCAAAAGTAGCACGTGCTTTTCCCCATATTTCTGCATCTCCTTAGGCTCATTACAGTCCAAGTTGAGGTGGTGCTACTTGAGTTGCTTATAACTTTTTTTTTCTGGTTTGAAATTTGACATAGTCCTCAGTCTTAAGGTGATTTTAAAACAAAGTATAATTTGAGCTGCAGTGTCTATTTTAAAACTCCATTGAAACGTATAGCATGTCACCTTCACCAAAAAGCTTATTTTGTTTGGAAACTTGTAAAGAAATGTTCGTGTTCTAATTTCAGAATAAATACAAAGGGTATATTAATTCTCAAAGCTTACCATTGTATAAGCAGGGACAATGGGGATCTTCTGTCTTGTGACCGAACCTCCTCGGAATTGTAAGTGGATGGTTTTCAATGTCTCCTTTTAGGAAGCAAGAAAAAGGAAAAGGAAAGGCCAGAAATATCTCCTCCATCAGACTTCGAACACACCATCCATGTTGGCTTTGATGCGGTGACTGGAGAGTTTACTGTAAGTACACCTGTCCCGAGCTGATTAGAAAGCCATAGGGTTCCTAACTGAAGTGTAGAGAATGTTTCACTTTGGAATAAAATTAAAATATCTCTCCTCATCTCCATCACAAATCGTTTACAATGCTTAGCACACGTGATTGGCCTCTGGTGGTGTTGCAGTATAAATGTTTACTAGTCACTAGACTCCTAATGCTTTGCTTTATGCCACATGGGAGAACCTTTAGTGAGAGTTTCTGGTAGCCTACAGGGTAACTGTAGAAATATGAAGTTCCCACTTGGGTTAGTTCACTTCCATTTACAGCAGATATGTACACAGAAAATCAGACTGTGCTGATGAATGGAGAACACTGATTTAATGTACCTGATCGGGGAGGAGATGTTTAGGACCAATGAGGCTGGGGGGATCCACAACTTCTTCCTACTGTGCCCCAGAAGGTCAGAAGAACTGATAGAGCCACTGAATTTTGTGCTGGCTTAGCTGAAGGCTTGGTTTATCTTGTGCCACATACACATGTTCAAGTCCGTAACTGAAGCCCTCCCCATAGCCACAGATGAACACTTACACGTGGAAAGAAAATCCATCCTGATTTTTTTTAAAAAACATCTTTAAAATAGCAGATATTAAGGTTGTCTCCTGTTCCAGGGAATGCCAGAGCAATGGGCTCGCTTACTACAGACCTCAAATATCACCAAGCTAGAGCAGAAGAAGAACCCTCAGGCTGTACTAGATGTGCTGAAATTCTATGACTCCAAAGACACAGCAAAGCAGAAGTATCTGAGCTTCTCTGCTGCAGGTGAGACACGAGTACATACGAGGCACTCTGAGGAAGGGGTTGGTTCTTACAGACTAGTCTGCTCTGCCCTGTATGCCATGACTTTGAATTGGGAAGTTAGGATCTAATGGGTGGAAGTGCCGCTAAAGCTTTGTCCAGTCAAACTCCTGTTTGAGATGTGTAAGAGAACAAGTGGAACAGGATAATTCAAAATGGCAGTACCAGTCAGCTAAATAATTAGTGACCTGTCTTTGTGAAACTAGAACTACAGGATTGTGATTAACTGGTTACACCGTGTAAGGATGGTCACTTGTCTTATTTCCAGGGACGGCATGCTTTTGGAGAAGTGCTGTGCAGTAACTTGCTTTGGCTCACCTTTCCCAAATGCTGAGACCAAAGTAGCTTGTCACTTCTGATGCAGGTTGTAGACAAGTGTGGGTGGGTGTCTGGCTGGGGAAACGGTTGTATTTTTCCAGTGTATGCAGTTCCTTTTGGCAGATTCTATCAGAAAGATTTCCTTTCTAAAAATAGCTTGGTGATAGGGATTTGTCACATCTCTGTATTATCAATTTGGTCATAATCTCTCTTGTACACACATCAAAACTAATACACAGTTTGACACCGTCTCCACCCAGGGGAGATCCAATCATGTAGCAAGTCAGGATTTGAGATTTTACTATGTCTGCATCTAAAGAGATGTTTCCCCTTTCATCAGCCACGAAAATTCATCTGTTTGGAAGTAGGGATGTAAGTGACTAGGTGAGTGGTTGACTACTTGCTTCCCCACCTCCCGTGATGCTTCTGTATCAGAGGCAGCAGGGGTGGAGGGGAGCAGGAGCTGGTACTGCGGGGAGCTGGCTTATAAGCTGGTTCCCCTAGCACCGTCTCCACAGTATGCAGCAGGGCGGCAGGGGAAGCAGAACCACAGCAGCCTCGGACCTGGCGCAAGCCAGGACTGTTCAGTCTCGGCTTGTGCCAGCTCTGCTCCAGCAGCTATCCCTGCTGCGGCTCTGCATTTTTAAATGGAATAAGAGCCCAGCAACTCTTACTGCATTTAAAATGCAGAGCTGCAGCAGTCCCAGAGCTGGTGCAAGCCGAGATTGCTCAGTTCCAGTTTGTGCCGGCTCTGGGAGCTATCCCCACTGTGGCTCTGCAGTTTCAGTGTAGTCGGAGCCAGGCTGCCTGTGCACCTGGCTCCTGCTACTTTTATACTGCAGAGCCGAAGCAGGCGTAGCTCCTGGAGCTGGTGTGAACCGGGACAGAGGGCCTCCCCTTATTGACTAATTGTGTAATCGATACAAATTATATCGACTACACGATTAGCCAGTTACCTGCTTCTTAACAGCCATAGTTGGATATTCTGTCCATATTCTTGATGTGCTGCTCATGCTTTCTGTAAAATCCACTTTATTATTACTGCTTATTCCACTAATCGTATATATTCGCCTTCTTCTCTTTTTGCTGTTTAGAAAAAGATGGACCAGCAACAGTAAGTGTATTTATTATTGCTTGTGCCTTTCCAGGCCTGCTCCGTTTCAGTTCTTCTCAATTAAATTGAATCTCATATTATATACTTCATAATAAAATTAGTAATATGTTATTGAATTGTATTTAAACATTTCCCACAGGAAACAAATTGCCCAGTAGGTGGTTTAGTTTTAAGGATGTTTTATCAAGTCTTTTGTCTGCTAAAAGCTTTCCATGTCTGTCTGTCTATTTAAAGAATGGTGAGGAATACTTAACATGTGCTTCTAGCACTTGGACTAGTGGAAGAGATAATTTAAATATTAAGATATTTCTTATTTGATAAAAGTATTGTTAAAATCATGAATACATCCTATATCAATGAAATATAGTAAACTAAATATTGTAATAAAATGTACTGAAACTCTTGTGTCTCAGCATGGTCTCAATTGCTAAGAATTCCTGGATCCCCATTTGAAAAGTCCCTTCATAAGCTGTTTATGCTTTTGGGAAAAACAACAACTTTGCTTCTAACCTATCTGTATTTTATTTCTCCTTTCTTCCATCCAATAACAATGCAATGCATACATAGCCCAATGCGAAAGGGTCAGAGCCCTCAGCAGCAGTAGCCGATGATGAGGACGACGATGAAGAGGCTCCTCCTCCAGTTATTGCCCCTCGACCGGATCACACAAAATCAGTGAGTGTGGTGTTTAAACTTTACTCTGGTATTTTTGCTTTTTTAAATTATTTTCTTTTCTGTGTATTGCAAGCCTCTTCCCATGGGCCCTGCTCACAACAAATTGGGGAAGTTTATTATTATTGTTACTTGCAAAACGACACTTTGTATTAGTTTTATTTTAGTAGGTATGTTTTGTCCTACCTGGGACTTAGCTATAGGTACCAGTTAGCCCAAGAGTATCCAACTTAGCACTGCTATATTTTACAGGGTTACATTTAAAAAATCCCAAATTATTTCATCGTCCTCTAATTTGCATCATAAGGATCATTTGAAAAATTTACCAATGCACTTACTCACAATTTCTGGGATTTGCTAACTTGTGTTTTTTTAAAAAAAACTTTAACTCACATGTTGTGCTCCTGATTTTTTTTTCTATTAAGTGTTATCCCATCACAGAAAAACCCTGGCATTGTAGTTTTAAGTCTGGGAATGTATTGCACCAACAAGAATGTTCTTGGTACTAAATTTTATACATGAGAACATAAACACTTAAATTCTTGGGTAAGTTGTAACACCATCTTTAACTCTCCCACCTCAACCTCCCTTGAAGCCCTCCCTTTGCTCCTGTAAAGGCCAAATGTCATCTTGTCTTTCCTTTTCTGACATTATTGCCTTGCTCTGTCTGAAAGGTAGGTATGGAATATGTAAAACGCTGGCAGAGCATTGCTTTATGGAATGGGTTACATGGCAGTTAAGTAAGATTATAGGTGGAACAATACATGTCTACAGCTCTAAGTAGTGACACATTAGCTAGTGTAACTGTCAGTTTATGCAACTTTTCAAATGAACAATTAGGTAGTTTAGGAAAGACCCATGCACAAATATGAATTGTCTTCTCCCCAAGTCGGAAACATTGGGCTGTACAAAGGCATCTGCTGCATCTTATTTTAATATAGCTTTCTTCTTCACATCACCTCCTTTCAGATGATTTGTTAATAAAGAGCAGTTTCCACCCTCTTGGCTGATGGGTGGGCATCATGTAATGTGAAGAGACGAAGGGTGAAGGGGCTCTTAAAAATTCCCCTCTGTTCCAGCATGTGGTATAATAAAAAAGTCTAATTAGAGAACAAGTGGGTAGAAAGCCTTCCACCCAACCTCCCCAAAATGTGGAGGTTAAATGACTGTGCGTAATAATGTCTGCATTTCCAACCAAGCTTTCAAATGAGCAGTTCATGGAGGTGAGTACCAAACTCTGTAGTTCATGCTTCCACAGTGTGGAGAGATTTCCACCCAGTCTGGTAGAACAAAGCAATGATGTGCAAATTACAGTATAAAGCAATTTTTGCAATGAGTAGAACACTTACATGGATATAGGAGACCGATGTGTTGAGAGTCTCTGGGTTAGGCTAAAAGGGGTAAAAAACAAGGGTGTTGTCATGCTAGGGGTCTACTACAGGCCATCTACCTAGGTGGAAGAGGTAGATGAGGCTTTTTTTAAACAACTAACAAAATCATCCAAAGCGCAAGATTTGATGGTGATGGGGGACTTCAACTATCCAGATATATGTTGGGAAACTAACACATCAGGGCACAGACTATCCAGTAAGTTCTTGGACTGCATTGAAGACAACTTTTTATTTTAGAAGGTTGAAAAAGCTACTGGGGGGGGGAGCTGTTTTAGATTTGATTTTTAACAAATAGAGAGGAACTAGTTGACAATTTGAAAGTGGAAGACAGCTTGGGTGAAAGTGATCATGAAATCATGGAGTTCATGATTCTAAGAAATGGTAGAAGGGAGAACAGCAAAATAGAGACAATGGATTTCAGGAAGGCAGATTTTGGTAAGCTCTGAGAGCTGGTAGGTAAGGTCCCATAGTCTTGCTTCCTAAGGGGGAAAAACAACTGAAGAGAGTTGACAGTTTTTCAAAGGGACATTATTAAGGGCCCGAAAGCAAACTATTCCACTGTGTGGGAAAGATAGAAAGTATGGCAAAAGGCTGCCATGGCTTAACCAGGAGATCTTGCGTGATCTAAAAATAAAAAAGGAGTCCTATAAAAAGTGGAAACTAAGACAAATTCCAAAGGATGAATATAAACAAAAAATACAGGGGCAAGATTAGAAAGGCAAAGGCACAAAATGAGCTCAAGCTAGCTACAGACCTAAAAGGAAACACGACATTCTATAAATATATTAGAAGCAAGAGGAAGACCAAAGACAGGGTAGGCCCACAGCTCAGGGAGGAGGGTGAAACAGTAATAAGACACTTGGAAATGTCAGAGGTGCTTAATGACTTCTTTGTTTCAGTCTTCACCAAAAAGATTGATGATGAGGGAATGCCTCACAAATGAATACTAGTGGGAAAGGGGTAGGTTTAGAAGATATAATAAAAAAAAAAAGTTAAAAATCACTTAGAAAAGTTAGATGACTGCAAGTCACCAGGGCCCAATGAAATGCATCCTAGAATACTCAAGGAGCTGATAGAGGAGGTATCTGAACCTTTTGTGATCATCTCTGAAAAATCATGGAAGACAGGAGAGATTCCAGAAGATTGGAAAAGGGCAATATAGTGTCCATCTATAAAAAGGGAAATAAGAACAACCCAGGAAACTACAGACCAGTTAGTTTAACTTCTGTGCCAGGAAAGATAATGGAGCCAGTAATTAAGGAATTAATCTGCAAACACCTGGAAGATAATAAGGTGATAAGTAATAGCCAGAATGGATTATAAAGAACAAATCACATCAAACAATCTGATAGCTTTCTTTGATAGGATAATGAGTCTTGTGGATAAGGGAGAAGCTGTGGACCTGGATTTTATTAAGGCATTTGATTTGGTCTCGCATGATATTCTTATCAATAAACTAGGCAAATACAACTTAGATGGCGCTACTTACAAAGTGGGTGCATAACTGGCTGGATAACCATTCTCAGAATAGTTATTAACAGTTCACAAGCCTGCTGGAAGGGCATAACAAATGGGGTTCTGCAAGGGTCTGTTTGGGGACCAGTTCTGTCCAATATCTTCATCAACAATTTAGATATTGGCATAGAAAGTACGCTTATTAAGCTTGCAGGTGATACGAAGCTGGGAGGGGTTGCAACTGCATTGGAATATAGGGTCATAATTCAAAAAGATCTGGTCAAACTGGAGAAATGGTCTGAGGTAAACAGGATGAAATTTAATAAAGACAAATGCAAAATACTCCACTTGGAAGGAACAGTCAGTCTCACACACAGTGTAGTAAGCAACTCTCTAGGAAGGAGTACTACAGAAAGGGATCTAGGGGTCATAGTGGACCACAAGCTACATATGAGTCAACGGTGTGATGCTGTTGCAAAAAAAGCAAACATGTTTTTGGAATGCATTAACATGAGTGTTGTGAGTAAGACACGAGAAGACATTATTCCGCTCTACTCTGTGCTGATTAGGCCTCAACTGGAGTAGTGTCTACAGTTCTGGGCACCACAGTTAAGAAAGATGTGGAGAAATTGGAGAAGGTCCAGAGAAGAGCAATAAGAATGATTAAAGGTCTAGAGAACATGAGCTAGGAGGGAGGGCTGAAGGAATTGGGCTTGTTTAGTTTGGAAAGGTGAAGACTGAGAGGGGACATGAGAGCAGTCTTTAGGTATCTAAAAGGGTGTCACAAGGAGGGAGGAGAAATTGTTCTCCTTAGTCTCTGAGGATCGTACAAAAAGCAATTGTCTTAAATTGCAGCAGGGGAAATTTAGTTTGGACATTAGGAAAAAGTTCCTACCTTTCAGGGTGGTTAAACACTGGAATAAGTTGCCTAAGGATGTTGTGGAATCTCCATCCCTGGAGATATTTACGAGCAGGTTGGACTGACACCTGTCAGGGATGGTCTAGATGGTGCTGGGTCCTGCTGTGAGGGCAGGGGATCGTACTCGATGACTTCCCAAGATCCCTTCCAGTTCCAGTGTTCTGTGATTCTATAGTAGAAATTATAGAAGCTAGAGAACATGGCAGACGTAAGCGCTCTCTTCTCTCAGCGAATCGACCCCAAGCCATCTGTGTTGTCCAGCAAGTCTCCAAGTCACAGTTTTAGAAACAAGCAGTGTTGCAGCCATGTTGGCTGCTAGTCAAGAACCAGCACTTTTCTCCTGGTTCCAAAAGTTTCCAGTGACACAGTGCTAGTGGTCAGATAAGAATTTATAGCGGTCTTGAACCTCTAGTTGCAAACAGGCGTCTCAGTTCTAACAGTGTTTGTTCTTTCACCACAGATTTACACACGCTCTGTAATTGATCCCATCCCTGCACCAGTTGGTGATAGTGTTGATAGTGCCGCCAGGTCGCTTGACAAGCAGAAAAAGAAGACCAAAATGTCAGATGAAGATATCATGGAAAAGCTACGTGAGTTGTATTTTTAAAAATATGGACTCCAGGATTGATGCTTTTGGTTGATAATTACCTAATTTATGTGGGTGGGGTATGTGCAGCTCTGATGAGCACATTGCTTTGAGCTGATATTGCATGGTGGAGTCTTACCGAAAAGCCTACAAATCTCCAACCAGCATGAAGAATGCTCAGAAGTGATCACACAACAGTCTGCACAGATGCTTGGTTGTAGTTTCTCTTTACCAGAAAATGGAAACAGTGAAGTCTTTTGATGCCATTATCCCCATTTTCCACCAAAAGGTGATGTAATCCAAGGACTTGGTTATTTTTTGTCATATGCTCATTGAGGGGAACTGTTTTCAGCCATCTGGATTCTTCTTGAAGAATGGTAATTAACAATTTCCATGCTCTGAAGCGTTTTAAGGTCATTTAGCAGTTGTGGCATGGTGATCAGGTTCTATGGAGTATTCCTTTCAATGCTGTGCAGAATTCCTGATTCTCATTTCATAATCTTCATAGGAGCAGTCTTACACCAAACCAATGCTGTTGTCTACCACAGGGCAGGTAATGCTTAGTTTAGAATAGGCAGCATGATTGCTGGATTTATTACTGATTCATCCTACAAAGGTGTTACAGATTCAAAAGTCATACAGAAGAATGCCATTTCAGTCAGTGTTTCTCAAACTTTTTTATAAAGTACCCTTTTAAAAAGAATATATATAAATACCCCCAGTGCCTACAGTTTTCAGGCACACAACATTTTTTTCTACCATTGCAACACGTTTGTTTAAACAACTTAATCGTAGCCGGGCGGTCGATGAAATGTTTGGGTGTAAAAAGTACAAAAACAATAAAGCTCTGTAAAACTTAAAACAAAAATCCAAGTTTCTCCAAATTTCAGTTGTGTTGACATACCCCCCCGAGACTTCTCTTGAATACCCCTAAGGGTACTTGTACTACTGGCTGAGAAACACTGATTTAAATGAAGTTCAGTTCAGTTTTAAAAGCTCTGTTTTATGACCATAAGAATGAAAAGGAAAAGGTACTCATTGTATTCTAATGAAAAAGTAAAGAATGCTCCCTAAATCACATGTTGATTTTTCTATTTTGTATGGAATTTCTTTTTAGGGACTATCGTGAGCATAGGAGATCCCAAGAAAAAATATACCAAATATGAAAAAATTGGGCAAGGGTGAGTATTTGTAAATCTGTCCAATTTTTTTCAGTGAATAAATCAGTATTAAAGGTATGTTCTTTCGTCATTCGGTCACTGTTTTTTAAAGCAGAAATGTCAGCGTATAAGCAGTAATAATCACATGCAGTAGACTTCAAACAGTGATGGAAGTTTTGAATCTGTTCAAATCAGAATAGTGATAGAAATGTAGCTGTGTTAGTCTGGTGTAGCTGAAACAAAATACAGGACTATGTAGCACTTTAAAGACTAACAAGATGGTTTATTAGATGATGAGCTTTCGTGGGCCAGACCCACTTTAAAGTGCTACATAGTCCTGTATTTTGTTTCAAATCAGAAGACATTCTGGTGAGATTGGATGGGAGTGAAAAAGTATTCATTTAAGTGAACTCTTGTCTCTTCTGCTCTTTCCCCTTATTTGATAAACTTATCTGTTCTTTGAATGTTATGTATGGCTTGTGACAAGGTGAGGGTGAGAGAACGTAAGTCTTTCCTAATCTAGACAAGGTGTTATCAGTCTACTGTAACTTGCTCTAGGCATTTCCATGAATCATGTCAGTGTAATCTAAATGTTTTTCTTACTGTGTCTTCATCCCTTCTAACAATATTTAGATTTTTTTGTGTAAAATGTTGAGGGGTGGACTAGAATCTCCGATACAATTGTTTGTCTAATTTATCTCGTCTTTGGGAATAGCAGAAGATACAGGGCTTTGCACACACTGACGCGTAAGAGAAGTAGCTTTCCTCTTATTGTGGAAGGGGGAGGGTCTGTGGTAACTAGTGGGCTGTTTCAGAGCTTGCTGGTACTTGTATTTCCTTGTTCGAGTTCTCCTTGAATGCCCTTCTTGCTTAAGAACGTAAGAGCTGCTGTACCGGGTATGGCCACGGTTCATCTTGCTCAGTATTTTGTTGCTAACAGTGACTTATTCCAGAACT